TCGAATCATTTCAAAAGTTTTAGTACTAGGCTTGACCTTTTATCAACCTTCCAAAAATATCATTTCTTATAGTCTAATATTGTATTTATCTCAAACTATTATTTGAGCAAATGCCCGTTAGTATTTTGAACGGAAAGTTGGGATGAAAGACTTTGAAACGATGGAAGAATTAATGTAAAAGGTTGCCTAGACAAATTCGTAAATCTCTATTTTTCTGCCAAAATCGCACCTCCACTATTTGTCATAGTTTTTTACTATCATTGAATAAAAAAAAAGAAATTTAAGTTTTGTCGTGATTGTTTTTAACCGACATAAAATTTAAAAAATTATGAAATTGATGTTTTCTCTCACAAAAAATGCACCTCCACAATTTGTAACAATATTTTTTCCCAATCTTTTTACTGTTCATAATTGTCAAAGAAGCCAAAATTTGTAGTATTGCAACGGAGAGAGGTACAAAATTGCATAAACAATCCAAGTAAACTTCTATGTTAATTGTCACGCATTTTAGATTCTGACATATCAACTTTTCGTTAAAAATATTAACATATGTCTGCTCAAAAAGTATTTTTAAAACGTTTATGAAAGGTCAAAGGTGGTATTGAAACTTTTGAAATAATATGAGTATTTTTGAAACAAAGACTACATTTAGGGCCTTAGGGGTATGTTTTGTAATTTAACCTTCTCTTAAAACGAATATTTTAAAATCAAAATTTACCTTTCACATTTGATTTTTTAAAAGAATACAGTGATTGCTGGGAGTTATTATCACGTTTCTAATATTGTTTACAAAGTTAATTTCTTAAATTATGACTATGAAGCTACTTAAAACTTAAAAGTTAGTATTTTTTTAGTTCAAAGTTGTAATGCAAATTCATTCACTATTCACAAAATTAGTGTCGGCTTAGAATATGGGCAAATGAGACAATTGGCTAGGACCCGATTCAGATGACTCGTTTTGGTCTTCGTACAATTTGCAAATATTGCACTAAAAAATGTGTAAATAATATTGTTTAACTCACAAGTCAGGAGTTCGAGCCCTTCCTCAACTTTCAAACAAATATATTGAGAAGTCTCTCTATATATTCCGTAATTTCGAATTAACATATGCAAGAGTTCGTATTTGACATAGAGAAAAAAAAAACTATTTATCGCAAAGAGGTCTACATAAAATTTTCAGAACACCCCAATGATTCCATTTTAAGTATTCCTACAATATTTGTAATCTATAAGAGGTATCTACAAAGATTCTACAGGCAGAAAAACTCTAAAATAATCAAAACTTTCAACAAAATTAACCAAAAGAGAGAGCAAATATCCCAAGAGAAGTATGAACTAGTACTAAATAAACAAAGAACAAACAGAAAGTAAATAAATTACATCAACTTAACTTGTAGAAATATTTAGAAGTTGTTGCTCTTCATGAAATACTCATAACTGTTATAATCAAAGTGATCATTATTGAGTTGAGCAGAAGCATTAAAATTGGCCAAACCCATTTGGTGAGAATTTGAAGAAGCACATGCCATCATCAATTGATCATCACTCAGCTGCATATATGACAGTGGAAGAATTGAGTGTGGAGGAAGAGGAACTCCATAGTGGCACAATGAGTAATTTTGGCTGCTTTCCATAACCATTGTTGGATCATTGTAAATATTAGGGTTTTGGAAACTCCCATAATTGAGCTGAATTTGAGTTGTTGATGGGCCTTGTGAAGAACCAATGAGGAATGGGGAGAGATTGTTATCAAGCTCATGATCCATTTGAAGGCTTTGAAGATTTTGGTATTGGTGATGGAATGGCATAAGATTGGCTTGTGTTTCCACTCCTAAACAGCTTCCAAACATGCCATAGCTATTTTGCTCTTGCTTCATGTTTGTGTTTAGGGTTATTTGCCTGCTCCTGCCCGTCGAGGACGACGCTCCCTCCTCGAGATTCTCCATCGCGATCTCGATCTTTCTCTTTGTTGCATCTAACTTTGAGTCCAGTTCTTCCATTAGAACTCGTAGCTGGTCTTCCAACAAATAGTCTAGGCGCTCGTCCCACTTTGGGAACCTAGTATTAACAACATTTTAAAATATTTAATTTTAACGGTGATTTAACATGTCATTTATTTCCTAATCGATATTGATTAGTAGTTCGTGCATGTTGTATATTCATGAGTAAATGAAAAAAAAATTAGAAATACGTTTAAAAGATTAAATAAACATAAAAAATTTCAAGAGTTTTTAAGTTCAGTAGTAGTTTAGCTAATTTCATACTTGGCTCGTGCAAGATCCTTGTGAAGCTTCGAGATGTCGCTTTCGATCTTCTTCTTGCGCTCGGAGAAGAAGTCAAGGAGATCAAAAGGCTTCCCAGCTCGTTTATGGAGGCAATTGGCTCTATAAGAAGCAATCATGTCATCAACATCGTCCCGAGACGGCGGCCAAGTGTGAACCTCGACTGACGACTGGTCGTTTTGGTTGGGGCCACAGACGAAAACGCAGGTGCGAACGTCACAGAGCGTGGAGAGCTCATAAGCTTTTCTCATCAAACTTTTCTTTCGCTTAAAGAAAGTCGTCTTCCGAGATTTCTCATTAGGGATCATTGTCATGCTCAGTTTTCCTCTCCCCATTATTCCCTCAAATCAAAAATCTCCAACAAAAAATCAGAATTCTCTCTGCCCTACATAGAAAGAAGAAAGCACAAACTTTATATCTTGAAAAGAAAAAACATTTAGTATATCAAAATCTCAAATTAAATCAAATCAAAACCCTACTTGTAACCTAAAAAGTGGCATTGAAATCAAGCAATTTTACATTAGAAACTTGGCATACTTACACAGTTTGTGTAGAGAAGAAGAGATTCAGCTGCAGCACAGTGATATGAGTGGTGGGTCGGAAGAGAAGAAAAGGGAGAATTGATAGAGAAATATGGAATGAAGGATTAATAGAAATTATAGAGATTTTGTTACCTTGGTAATAAATTAATTTCAAATACAATAAGATCAAAATGAAGATTTAGATATTGTGATAATTAAACTCGCCCTTAAATTAAGGGAGAATGGCAGTAGAAAAAGGAATTACCATATATTTTTTTATTATTATAATCTTTGATAAAAGGGTTAATGTTAATGCCAATCAAAGGATTTGAAAGACAAATTATTTTGTGCGGAATTTCATCAAACAGGTTGAGGGCATTGAAGACAAAACAAGAAACTCAAAGGGTAGAGGAAACTAATAATTGCTTTTATAACCTAAAACAAATGATACACAAATAATTATAACATAAATAAATTTAATACAAAGACGGTCCTAAAAATCAATCAGAATAGAAATATTATTTCTTTGATATTGTTGACTAGAAATCTTCTGGAATTGGAATCGGAAATCATTTGAAGTTGTTTACTAAAACTGTCTCGTTTATTTACAAGGAATTGGAATGAGAAGGAATCAGAATGAAAATAAATTTGAATGAGAATGTTATTCTCTGATATTGTTTACTATAATTTTTTTGGAATTAAAATCAGAAAGCATTCCAAGTTGTTTATTAAAATTGTCTTGAATCAGAATAGAAATTAGATATTTAACAATTATTAGTATACGTTTTTCTTATCCATAGATAATTACAAGTATATTATTACACTAATCTTTTTTAATAAAAACATTAATAAATTTTAATTTATTTTATTATTATTTTACTGATAATAAATATTTTTTTACTATATCAACCTCATTGAATATTAACAAAGGATAAATAATTAAAATAAAATTATATCAACTAAAATAATCTTTCATTGGAACAAACATCATTTGATATAAAATATTATTAAACGTTATTGTTATCAATATTTAATAGTAATGAATTCCACTTTAAAAAACGTATTGATATTACTTAATAATAAAGTAAATTTATTTAATTGAAAATTAAATAAAAAATTGTAATATTTTATAATAAAACCACATCAACTATTATAAATTTTATTAGAAGAAAAATTATTAATAGTATAAATAAAAATGTAAACAATTAATTAAAAAGTAACGAGTGTCATTGATAGAGGAGAGCGAAATGATAAAAATTGTAAATTGAAATAATTAGGTGTGGGCCTCCCCTAATAAGAAATTATTGATGAGGTTGTAGGAAAAGAATGAGATACATCATTTTAGATGGAATGATTACAAAATTTGAGTAGGTGCCACGTGGGAACAGGCGATAGGGACACATCAAGCTCCCTCCACCTACAAAATGGGAACGTTAAATGCAACGAAAATGATGTCAAGTGTTACAATCCTAACTCTTATCTTTGGATTGTACCCCACGAGTAGGTCATCGAGGACGATGACAGTTTAAGTGGGGGAGAATGTCACAACCATACTAGTGGAGAGTAGGTTGTGACGCCCACGTAGTGTGCAAGTGTCAGCGACAAGCATATGTCGCCCATCGGGCCATGTCAAGGGCCGAGAGTGAAGTGCCGTGATGCGACCAAGGAGGATTGTGCATCACCTATCACACCATATGGATGTGCTCAAGAATGCCTAGAGAAGGCATATGCAGAATGCAAAGCGAAGGCGACGTCAGTGGTGTCGGTGACAAGCTCAACGGGGGCCAGTTGGGGCCCCGGGCCACAACCCTAGAAGTCGGGGTTCCGTCGAGAGTTTGGACGAGCGGCTTTAGAGTTAGATGCATATTAGTGAGATATGTAAGCACGCCAAGTTTTGTGTCAATCGGAGTTCAGACGTGCGCTCTACGTTGGCGAGTGACTCCTCGCCACTTTGCACGTACACGC